GTGGGGGCCTGGGCAGGAGTGGGACAGATCTGAGGGTCTCTGGCAGAAGGGGGTGGGACCAGGTCAAGTGCCAAGGCATGGTCCATTGGAGGAGCCTCACTGTTCCTCTCAGGCCATGTGGGGGGCGGCTGGATGGTGGTGCGGGCTGCTCGGAGCCCTGGGCAGGAGAGGTCAAACGCCCAGCCTGGCCCTCGAGCACCCGCGGCACCAAACCCAGCCCCACTTCTCCAAGGGGGCGCCCAGCTGCACTTACCTCCTCCTCCTCAAGGCTGATGCTGCTGTGCTTGCTCTCCTTAGCCAGGTTGCTCATAATGGGTACAAGGGCAAAGTCAGAGGGAGGCCCATTCTCTCTCCATGGGAGGAAATCCGGCTTTGTATCCAAAGCTTCCTTAGCAATAGGATGGGAGACCCCCAGGATAGGCCAGGAGGAGGGGGCAAGGGGATGATGAAAGGGCAGCAGGGCAGGACTAAGGTAGGACTTCCCTCAGACCCTCCCTCTCCTTCTTTCCTTCTATCCTAAGTACAGAGTGGTGGGAAAATATTTGAGATGAGGGAGGGAGAAAAACAGGCAAGAAACGCAACTGGGGAGGTGTCACCTCCCCAGCATGCACCCAGGGGGCAGGGCCGACGCGGCAGGGGTTGGTTCCTCGCTGTTTCCAGACGGCCTTGTGGAGATAAGACTGACTGCATTTCAGCATAGATGGCCACCACAAAATTGTACATTGGCTCCTGGCCAGCTTGGGCCAGGGCCAAGGCAGCGGGGGCCGTTCCCTTACTTTTTCCAGGATGGCGCTGTGGGCCACACGAAACCACTTCGCGGGCGGCATCCGGCCCCCGGGCCTTGTGTTTGACATGTCTGTGTTAGAGGGAAAGAAATGAAATTAAATGGTTTAGTACTGAAATATGAATTTGTCTCATTTTCCCCCTTCCCCAAATTATTTATTTCCCCTTTCCTTGAGTTATATAGCCTGTAGATAGTTTAATGTTAGAGAAGTTCAATTTGGATCCTGGCAGAAGCCCATGGCATCCCAAAACCTGCATGCAGCAGGAAATAAGGTGTTGAAGACCATGTTCTTGGCATCTCAGTAGTTCTGTTATTTCAGAAATGGATATCGATGCTCTTAGAATATTACTAAATTAGCCCTGCTGAAACCTCTAGCAGAGAAATTAATGACGCTTATCACAAGCAAAGGAGTCTTCTATGTTCTCTATAGCCTGGGACAAAGAGAGAGGAAGTAATCTCTCTAATGGATGAGCTTTGGCCAAGTTACTCAGAGATCAAGACAGCAGGAAAGTGACCTCCCAGAAAAGATTTTTTCCAGGGACGCTTTTTGTTTCTGTCCTTCCAGTGGAGGTTTCTGCTGGTTCTCAAGATCTTACAACTTAGATGCTAAGAAACAGGATGTAAAGGGAACTGATCCTTCTCATGAATATGGTTGGGCTGGTTGCCTAATCTGGCGGGGTTGCAGTATCCTTCAGTTCATATAGATGAGGCTGAGAGCCCATGTATGATCAATCAGAGCCATTCAAGATGTCAAGAATATAAGAGGAGACAATAGTTTAACCACTGTTGCTCCCTAGTAATTGGTATTTGTGGTACGATGGTTTAAAGGGAGATAAAATAGTTGTCAAAACTTGATCATCATCCTCTTGAATGTGATATGTTCAGCCTCCCATTACAGATAAAATTTCCTTAAACTTGAGCTTTATATATGTATGTATGTGTATATACATACATACATACATACATACATACATACATACATACATACATATATATATATATAGAGAGAGAAATAGTTTGCTATTATGTTCTCAAGTGTTTCCTGATAATCTCTGTCAAAGTAAATTTATGGCTGTCACATCTGATAGCAATGAATTCTACAGTTTTATTATGCATTACTTCTGTTGGACTCACGAGTTTAGGGACAATTTATCTACCCCAGATTGTCCAGAGACCAGCATGGGACAGTGGCCATACATGGGATTTGGTGTACCTGTTGGATCAGTAAATAGGTGATTTGTATTTATATAAATACTCGTAGGAAAATAGAGTGCATGCAAGAATACAAAATCTGATTCTTCAGAATTAGATCTCATTTTCTGCAGTAGAGGGCTCTAAGTTGCTCATTTTATTTAGGTGAATTGATAGTTACCAACTACCCCCCCATCCCTTCCAAAACAACAGTTCTTGGACAAATGCCAAAGTGTCATTTGCTTTCTAGGCAGGTGCTGTTACTCTGCATAAACACGTCTCACTGCAGGAGAGAAATCAGAAATGTATTTCTGGAATGCTCAAGTTGCAAATCCTGCTTGAATGCTTAGCTAGTCTTTGTAGAAAATAGTTCATTTTGATCTTGGTTTTCAATATAGATCCATAAATTTGTTCAGTGTACTTCTGTAAGTAACATCTGCTCAATTGTCTTGCAAGTAACACAATAATGCTTAAGCAGTGCCATTAAAGAGGTATTGGACCCTCTATCATACAGTTCCTCCTGACTGGGCAGGTTTTTGTTGTTATAAATAGATAGGATTAGAGCAGCTTCTCCAGGTGTACGCGGACAACATTAAGTCATACAGGCTGTGAATTCTGAAAGTTGTATTCTCAATACTTCTGAAGGACAGAAGGAGAATTGCCCAGTTTCCAGTAAGTGTAACCCATAATATATCAAAGAATAGCAGCATGTGCAAATAGTTGTAGAGTTGAGCTGAGCATTGATTCTGTTCCTTAACTGTGATGCATACAAAGTAAGTATAGGCATTTCTGTTCAGACTCTCTTGAGTCTCCACATATATTCTGTTATTAATTTCAGCCAACCATCGTTGTCCTGATAATAACAGTAGTAAAGAGAGATTTCACATTTCCTCATTGGGATCTGGGTGTTATTAGAAATGCTGTTAGTGACTACTGGGGAAACAGAATGTATCAGAATATAACAACTGAAATGGCTTACATATTAGACTTGGATTTGGAAGATCTAGATCAGACATGTCAAACACAAGGCCCGGGGGCCGGATGCGGCCCGCGAAGCGGTTTCATGTGGCCCTCGAAGCCATCCTGGAAACAGTGAGGGAATGGCCCCCACTGCCTTGGCCCTGGCCCAGGCCAGCCGGGAGCCAATGTACAATTTTGTGGTGGCCATCTATGCTGAAACGCATTCAGTCTTAGCTCCATAAGCCCCCCCCCCCCTGCATGGCCTGAGAGGCACAGTGAGGCTCCTCCAGTGGACCATGCCTTGGCACTTGCCCTGGTCCCACTCCTTTCTGCCAGAGACCCTCAGATCTGTCCCACTCCTGCCCAGGCCCCCACAAGCACCCTTGACGCGAACGGTGTAGAGCTGGCCACACCCACCCAGTAGGCCACACCCACTCCATCCACGCCCACCCAGTAGGCCGCACCCACCCAGCCCCCTGAGGGCAACCGCAATGCTGATGCAGCCCTCAATGAAATTGAGTTTGACACCCCTGATCTAGATTCAAATCCCAGTGCAGCCTCAAGACTCATTGAGTACCCTTTGGTTGCTTACAGACTCAACAGCCTAACTAAGTCTGCAAACTTAGCATGGAGATAAAATTATAAAACATTCTTAAGCACTTTGAACGGAATACAAATATGGAACACATTTACACATGTTTTACAAGTAATGTAATGGCCGTATGGAAATATAAGCAATTTTTAAATAATCAAAGGAACATACTGTACGGCAAATACAGAGGCCAGAAACCCGAAGAATGAATAATTGCTGCTTTGCAATTATGGTTTTTGAAAAGATGTCTCTTAAACTGCAAAGCAAATTGCTTTTATTTATATGGGAGGCAAGACGCCAGTAGACACAAGTGTGTTCATCAGGGAGTGAGGCAAGGGAATGATCAAAGAAAACGTTCTCATGAATTCAAAGCAAATTACATTGCTATAAAGGTAAGTTGAGAACAGTTTAAAACATAACTGCAAGAACTTAGATTTAATATTTATAAAACCTAATTAGCTGTAACAAAACAACAGGTAGATTCCCTCCCCCTCAATTTATCATTATGTAAGTAAGATTTTCCAGGTTTTAAATTGCACCAAAAGCCAACTTAATTATAGAAGACTCCCTGTTCAGTCCCCCAAACAGGTAAAAGTGAAGCACTGAAGATGGGGGTTGAGGGGCAGTAAAATCTGTATTCACTTTCACATTGTTTAACAGTGATTGTATTTGGGAAGAGCGAATGCCCAACAGAGCTCCTCTTGATTATAACTTCTCACTAAAATTAGTGAATGGGGGCTCACTTATTTCGGCTGTCTTCCATTGCCCAGTAAATGGTAGTGCTATTTGCTACAAGTAGATAATTCCTGCTTATAGAAAACTACTGGAAAGTAATTAGACATACATGGGTAACTTTTACACATGGTGCTTTTCAGCTTTTTTATTTAAAAAAAAATACAGTTGTCCTGCAAAAACCAAACCAGATAGGATAAGATGAAATAGGAGAAGATTGAATTGCACTACAGAGGGCTTGTTTTTAGCAAAACAACAACAATATAAGAAGAAGTGGGTTTGGATAGGGTATTTTAGGAATAAATGCCTTGCAGGCAGTTTAGGATAGTATATGTACAGTATAGCAACAGAAAGAGAGTGGTTTAGAAGGGAAGTTGGCATCCACAGTGAAACTTCTCCAGATTCAGCCACTTCAAATATAAGATAATGGTTCCCCTTCCCCCCCCAACCTTTTGAGTTCCCATACACAAAAAAAAACAAGTATTCTAGAAAATAAGCAATGTTAGGTCTGTGTTTTATGTTACAGAGCTTCCTATATGGAAATACTGGTTTTGTAAAAAAAAGATAATACAGTTTTGTGGATCTTGCCTTCTTAAAAAATGAAAAGAAAACCCTGTGGTTATCTAGACGTAGGATTAACAGTAACATCTAAGTAATCCTAGCTAACTGTGTAATTAGAAATATTCTCTTTCCATAGCAGACCTCTGATTCTCAACTCTTTTTACTCCCTGTTCTCCGCAGGCTACATCCAGAAGATTAAATCTGGGGAGGAAGATTTTGAATCCTTAGCATCCCAGTTCAGTGACTGCAGCTCAGCCAAGGCAGGGGGAGACCTGGGTACTTTTGGAAGAGGTGAGTAGGTCGATGTTACTGAATATGTTACGTGCCTTGTTCAAATTGAAAGAAAAGGATCTTTGAGAAATGGAGTCTATCATGCATCTTGGGTTCTGCTTTGGGTCAAAATAATTGCAGCATTTAATAAAAAGTATTCTGAGCCATAATAGGTGAGGATGCTGCATTGTTTGCATGTATGTTTGCATTGCTTGCATGCATCATTGCATATGATAAACCAGGGGTCTTCAAACTTGGCCCTTTTATGACTTGTGGACTTCAACTCCCAGAATTCCTCAACCAGGCGCGCTGGCTGAGGAATTCTGGGAGTTGAAGTCCACAAGTCATAAAAGGGCCAAGTTTGAAGACCCCTGTGATAAACCTTTCTGCCTGCTCTGTCAGCCCAGCCGAATCATTATCTCCCTCCAGTTCCTGCTATATATTTATATTAATAGATACTTTCCTGTTAAGCAATTTACCACGTGAAGGCGGTTTCCTTCACATTAGGTTAGTTTTCCTAGCCTTGGGCATAGCATAATGCACCTTGAAACACTATGGAGGAAATTGCATCCATTTCTGGGCCATTGTCTTAAAAATCTTGAAATCAGATATCCTTTAGGCTTGAAATTTTGTTTTATAGAAAAACAGTAAAAGATTTCATCTATCAATCAGTCTCCTAATCATGGGATATATCTGCTTGTTTTAAAAATATACGGTGCCAATAGAAAAGGCTTAGCAATGTTTCTGTTGCTTTGTCTCTCCTGGCTTTCATGAGATAGTATTTCGTTTTGTTTGAAAATTAGATGCTGAAGCTCAGTGACAGCGAACGAGAGTTGCTGCTAGCAGGTGTTGGGAAGGGCCTTTCCGTGCCTGTGATCTGGAAAGTTCTAGAATAGAGATACATACGAAGCAGATTCATATATTGAGATGTCGACTTGTTTACCAAGATCACTGGAATTCTACTACTAAACTGCTGCTAATTCATTGTACTAACAGATATTAGTTTTGTATCATCTATTCTGCCTGTTTTCTTCATTTGAGAAGGAATAAAACTGTATCTCATGTGCTGAAGTCCTCCCATTTTGCCAGACTTGATCTGGCCGTAAACTTCTGAATTTCAATAGCTGCTGCTTGTATGATTCTTGTTTTAAAAGCTAGAAATCTCCTTTTCTTTGAAACTGGAAATTTCAAGAAGCTGAGTATAGAACATGATGTCACCAGTTTGTAGGCAAGGTAGTATAGGATGATACATGGCCTACGAATACCTTCCAGTAGAAATAAATAGGAGAACTCTGAATGAGTGGGCTGCAGTGGCAAGTGCAGAATCAAGGAGCTGTTAAAAGGAAATAATTCATTCTTTGATAGGGCATCTTTATCATTAGACTCATTAAGTTTGTATCTTGAATATTTGCTACAAAAATAAAATTCTTTAGAAGAGCTTGAGAATCAAACCATATAGGTTTTCATGTAGAACAAGGGGAAGCGGTTGTTTGAGCTGGGACTCTGAATTGTGAGAACTTGCATTGGGCTTGCTCACAAAATACCTGGTATGAGGCATTGTTCCCCTTAATGGCTGATCATTCTTTTGTGCAACTTCGTGAACCTGAATTCAAACATATATGCTGTTAGGAGAGCATACGCTAATGAGCACAATGCAGATAATATATAAACTGTTTAAAATTTGTAATGAAAATAATTAACTGTATGTTAATTATAGATGAAGCTACAATAAAGTATACTAGTTGTATTGTAATCTGCTAATTTAGTTGGCCTGAGTCCCTGGCTCTAGTGGATCAGAAATTACAGAGAGAAAAATATGTGCCTTATAGTTTCTCTCTGCAGTTGGCATCTCTCCATGCAGAGTAAGCTCTGTCCAGATCTGCTACCAACTTAACCCAATCATCATGTCGAAATGAGCTACTTGAAAATAATGGCATAATTTAGTGTTAGAGTTTAATTAATTTAATTAATTACGATTAAATCATAGTCTGCACCAGATGCTAGAAATATCCCCCAACCAATATCCATCAAATTGTCAGAGCCTGAAATTGTTTTTTCTCATATATAAAGGTCAACGTATCTGGATACCTTGACCAATACAAATCTGAAATCATTACACTGATTGACCTTAACAGTATTTCCAGAAAGAAAAGCTTTGTATTTTGAATATAGGCATTTATGTATTTCATGTGCTTTTGTGCTGTTTATATCATCTGACTCTGGGTCAGCTGTCCCACCTTGGTTAATTAAGAAAGAAAGACTCTTGAACTCATGGTTAGTGAAAGTACAATTAAAGCCAAGTGGTTATAGTGTAGTAAACCCGGATCTGGATTTTCACGCCCAAAGCATCTGGTTAACTTTTCTCCTGTCTTCCCATCCTCTCATGGCTATTAGTTAGTGTCCAATAGTATTCAAATAAATTGTTTTGGTAGTCCCTGGCTGTGTGAGCTGGATGCTGCTGCTTTCCATTGGGTGACCTTGGTTTATAGCAACATTCAATACATAACATTAGAGAAATCAGCAGTTACGTTTGTGTGTGTCATATTACAGTAAAAAAAAAAACATAGCATCTTATATTTTTAAAACAAGCAGATATGTCCCACTCAGGAGACTGACTTGATAGACGAAGCTTTAAGCAATCCACCAAAACATATCCATTTTTTCCATATAAATTCTGTAAAAGCATTAGCATCTCAATACATGTATAGCGTTTGGTAACCCTCATCACATGTGAATATTCCACACAGTTCAGCGTGTTATGGGATTTTGATATGGTAGAGGTTATGGTGGCTTGCAGAGGATCTGAAGAAGGGCTTATTGGTATTACGAGCAATTTTGTGGCAGGGTTTGAGCCTCTTAATAATATATTTGTATGAGCCTCTAATAATATATTTGTATATATTCCAAGGATGATGAGAAGCATTTGGAACACATGGGGTCTTCAAGTGGTCCCAAAATAAAGGTTCCAAATAGGATCCATCAGTAGTGGCAGAATAAATTTAAAGACAAATATTTAATAATACTCTCATAAGACTCTTTTTTAAAAAGAAATTTTAAAGAAACAAGTATGTAAATTCATATCGCTATATAGAACATGAATTTGCAAGACAAGTGAAATAATTAGCATAGCTACTGTTTATCATCTAAGACCTTAGTTCCTTCTTAAAATAATATGCCTTGTCCCTCATAGTTAGCATTTATGCGTAACTGGAAGGGGAAAAAAAATGAAGGTGCTAACTTTGGTCAAAAACTTTCTTTTCCTGGGAATAAGTTCTTGGTTTGTACGAAGACACTATTTTTTAAATTGCCCTTTATCTTCACAAGTTCTGCCTTATTGTTCAAAGGCAGCAATTCCTTCCTGAGTCAAATATTTCTCGGAAGAAAAGATGATTGCTAATATTGGCATTTTGGATTGCAAAGTAATGAAAAAGCTATTCGTCATAGGCTGCCAGTGACTGGTAGTTGGGTCTCATTTGGAAACTGTCACTTCAGCAGTGGTCTTGGGTGACTTACTGAAGGAGAGAGTTTCCATGAGACAAGTCCAACGCTGCAGTAGCAATGCTGCTGCTGGAATTTTGTTGTCCACTAGATGGGACTAGGAGCACAAGCAGGTCTTCTGTGATACCACTTTCTATCTTCTTGTACTCATTTGATGGGATTACTAACCACAATTTGCTTCAATTATGAATCCTGGATATGTTTAGAAATGGAAAAAAAAACATAAGCATTCTCATTTAGTCTTTTAAACAAAATCAAGAGCAATTGACTTTTCCTGTTTTATTAAATTCTGGCTGAGGGATCTGAGAGGGTTTTTTTTTCCCCCCAATTCAGAAATTAAGAACTTTTGGGTTGAGAAGAAATCCAAATCAACATTTATTTGAAGGTTATAAATTATCATGTCCTACACAGCTGCCTGGAGAAATCCAATTATTTAAGGCAAAGTAGCATATCTTATTATAGTTGTTAATTAGTATCCACATTTCTTCTGGAAATATGTGCATTTTAAAAAATTGAATACTTAATTGCAAATAATTATAAACTCAGTTATGAAATGAGAAACAATTTAAGTAATTTACTGGAATGGCTTAATTACGCTTGCTTTTTTGTTGTGGTGGTGATTCAATTTAAGGCATCCTGTATTTTTAAACCAGTCTTGCTATTTTTTTCTTTTCAAAAAAGAAATCTTATAGCAGTGAATTACATTGTTGTGGTCAGACCATTCATACTGGTGTTGTGCAAGAATGATCACAACTAAGATTGCAATGGTAGCATGTAGAGCAGGGGTGTCAAACTCGCAACGTGTCGCGATGTATCTCGACTTTTTTTCCATCGCCGGCAATGGGGTGGGCGCGGTTTCGCCATGAATACATCCAGCTGGCAGGCTGGCAGTTTGACACCCCTGATGTAGAGCATTGAACAGACACGTGTGTGCATGCATTTGCACCCATATGCACAAGCTTTGATGTCTTTGTTAAAAAAGACGTCCCATTTTTGGACCTTGTTCATTTTCAAGCTCAGTTCAAAAGAGAAATATTTTACTTGTGTGATTTCCCCCCCCCACACACACACACAAAATTCTGTTGCCAGCAAGATGGCAACTTTAAATCTCTCCCTTTCCTTTCCCCTTCTACTCATTTTATGAGCTAAAACTTTGGGGGAAATAATAGACTGAAGCCATTATGGTTAGTCCTGGAAGAGGTTTAGAGTCATAATTATAAAAAGTTGCAGATGGATTGAAAGCCACAAGTAAGTAATAAATTCTTCTAATCTCTCAGACATACAAGTCACCAGGAATGCATGCAGCATGCAAAGAACATTCCTTCTTTTTCTTTTCTTCTGTCCTTGGATCTGATACTCAAGTCTTGAAGGGAAGTAAATACCAGTTAAAAGAGTCAGTATTTTGATTAGGGCAAGGCAAACCTTTGAATCCCTGTAAATTGGATGCTGATCCCATTAGTTTTTTGATGGGTCGCAGCAGTTTAGTAACTGCCTTTCTCCCAGGTGTTGTTTTTTCCTATAGTTTTCAAAACACATTCCCTGGGCTGTCACGACCTGCTTCTGCAGAATGGTTCTGCTATAGTCAGTTGGGAGAGAAAGGAAGTCGGGGACCAGATCTGGCCTCATCAAACAAGGATAGCTGGTTCCAGGAATGTAAGCCATTTTCAAGATAGTTGTTAATTTTTTGGACCAACTGGTAATAAGCGTGCCCTGCGCTCATTTGTTACTCAGTCTGGGGCCAATTCAAATTACCTGAGGTTGAGAGACTTCGTCTCCTGAATCTCTTGAATCATTAGTTAAGGTAACTAGTTTAGGGTAAGCTTAAAAATACAGTCTATCTATCCAGCAGGGAATGTTGTCATTGTAGCTTAACATTTAGGATCAACTTTATGATTGGGATATAGGAATACTTACTCTGTTAGCTTAAGTAGTTGGTCCCTAGTTCTCAGGAAGATAAAGGGAAGGAGGGGGGGAAGCATATTTGGACTTGCAAAATCCTGTTCTACGGTAATGTATAACAAAGTAATATTGATTTACATGATATTGGTTTCCTAGTCTGGTCTACCTTGAAGGGCTGACATCAATCTTTGCAGGTGTGAATGTGCTTCCTCTCTTCTTTTAATATCATGAGAACTAGGAAAGGGTTTGATATATTTATTCACACTACATTTTGCTCTGAACAGACCTTTTTTTATCAGGCTGTTGCCTTGATAGTGGCTCTTCATCCTGTCCCTCAAGGACATTCCCTGCCCTGTATTGTTAGCTTGAATTTAGCAAGTTCTACCTGGAGGCTTCATTTGGTCTTTGAGTGATCTCCTAGGGCTACTCTCTAAAACCTGGCAGGATCAGGTAAAAGATGTGGTGGAATGGATTAAAATGTAAATGTCATTAAAATTAATTAAACTAAATTTATATGATTTTTTCCCCCTTGCAACATGCTCATTTCCTTTTATCATTTTAAAAATTACAACTTGGCAGTAAGTTTTGAAGAGACCCTACAGTCACCTCTTTATTGCTAAAGATTAGAAACAGCACAGCAAGATTAGGCTAGCCCAGGGGGTCTTCAAACTTGGCCCTTTTATGACTTGTGGACTTCAACTCCCAGAATTCCTCAGCCAGGCACATGTGCCTGGCTGAGGAATTCTGGGAGTTGAAGTCCACAAGTCATAAAAGGGCCAAGTTTGAAGATCCCTGGGCTAGAATCTTTTATCTGTTGTAGTTTATTTTTGTAGATTGTCTGATATGGGGAGAAAGCATTGGAAAGTGGAACTCCCCCCTATGTAATATTGAAGTGAAACATGCCACCCTGCTGCTTGGTTCTACACGTGCCGACCCATCCTGATTGCGAATCATGGGGGTAGATTGGGCAGCCAAGAAAGTGCAAATAAGATATGATAAGAGTCTTTCAGGTTTCTGTAGTCAAAACATGCACATACTCTAGGTATTAACATTGGTTCAAGCTCATTTGAGCTTGACCGGGCTTGTAGATTGTGATGTATTTTCTCTGCTCCTCTGCATTAGAAATGGTGGGCAATCTCCAGGGAATGTGTCCATGGAGAATGTATCAGAGAAGGGACAGACTGCTATTTTAATCCCAGATGTTCCAAATATTAGAAAATATGTGCAGAAAGATAAAACTAACATTTTATCACTGTAAAAGTACTCACTACTGGAAAGGAAAATGCATATATTTATCTAGCTCTGAAATAGAATTAATATTTGGGTGATATTTTTCAGTAAGATCATCTAATATGTCGTCAAATACTTATACTCTGGTCATAAATGCATAGAGGTCCGATCTACGAATATGGAATCCTACATTACAGATTTTTGTGTGCTCATAGCTACTACAAGTACTCCTCGACTTACAACTATTCGTTTAGTAACCAAAGTTACAGCAACACTAAGAAAAGTAACGTATCACTGTTTTTCACACTTACAATCATTACAACACTCACATGGTCAAAATTTGGATACTTGGCGGCTGGCATGTATTTATGATGGTTGCCGTATCCTGGGGTCACGTGATCATCTTTTTTGACCTTCCTACAAGCAAAGTCAACGGGGAAGCCAGATTCACTTAACGACGGTGTTACTAACTTAACGGCTGCAGTGATTCACTTAACAACTGTGTAAAATGGAGCAAAACTCATTTAACAACTGCCTTGCTTAGCAGTGGAAATTTTAGATTCAATTGTGGGTGTAAATCAAGGTCTACTTTTATAGGATTGCCTTTGGCTTTTTTTCTGTTGAGCTGGAACCAGTGAGGGCAACATTTGCTACTTCTAGATGTTCATGCTTAGAATTAATTCTAGATATTCTTGATATGGCTGTCACTTTTCACTTGAAAACTGTTTTTTGTCTGACAGGTCAAATGCAGAAACCTTTCGAAGATGCCTCCTTTGCGCTGAGGACTGGTGAGATGAGTGGACCAGTATTCACAGATTCAGGGATCCATATAATTCTGCGTACAGAATGAGTATTTTGGTACCATGCACTTGGAAAAGAAAGGGTGATTGGGAAAAAAGGAACAAGAGAACCTTTATTCCAACCATTGGTACGCTCTCTATCCCAGAACAAACTTCATATCTAGCTTATTTTTTATTTTTGTTTATATATATACAGTATATATATAAACAACAAGTGTGTGCATATGTAACACACATAAATGTATCCCTGTTTCATATTTCAGTACCTTATTTGACATATTGAAGAAATGTTTTCCCCCGCCTGTATTGATGCATGTTAGCTGGGGCAGAAAACAATTGAAACAAAAAGACCGTAGCATCTTTCATAAGACACAATGGCAGTGTTTTTAACAACAACAAAAAAGGAAATCCCTGGCTGCTTGAGTTTAATATTGACGGTTTCTTCCATTCAGGAGACATGTCTGTACTTACAGGGTCATGCTTTAATGCTTTCCCTCTATATCCAACTTATAATAGAGTTATTTATTATAGGGCTGCACTGATGGTGGCAGAGTTTAGCTCTCAGTGTATAAATAAATAGAATAAAAATCTCCTTTGCCACGATATAGCCTGGTTTAAGTTCACAAGTAAAAATACCCCATTTCTTATCTCTCTCGCCCACAATTCAGTGGCATTCAGTTTTTAATTTGGCCAATCATTGATAAATTGTTTTTGGGTGTAAAACTAGAACACTCCTGTGGCTCACTTTATTGCTGTAGATTTAGGAGTACAAATTCCTCATTTATGATAATGTGCAAATTCCACTGGACTTCCAACGTCCATTGAGGGTTGAGTTTCAGTAGATGCAAAGGGACTTTGAGGTGATGTTGTCTGGATAGGAATTCTCTGTGATCACCTGAGCATACACTGCTGTCAGAAATATAAATTTGCCATATGCTGATTACCGTAATGCGTTCTCATTGAATTAGATCTCGCTGATGTCTCTTTGAGACAGACATTTATCTTTTACATTATTCCAGTGCAGCCCCTCCCCAAGTTTATGTAGCCCTCTAAAATTTCATTAGATGTATTACATGTTAATCATTTTTGTGTGTTGTTCTTGATGCTGACATATTATCCCAAGGGAAAGCCATTTAGTTGTTGGCTTCCAGGTTTTTTTGGTTTGTGTTTTATTTTCTTTTTTGTTTTCTATTTCTTTTGTTCAGAAGCTGGTCATGATCCACTTGTGGTTTAAGACAACACTGTAAAGTCACTCTTTCTGATTTTCTGCATTGCTTTTTCTCTATATAAATTCAATACGATTCCCAACAAGTTCCTTGCTTTTGATCTGATGCAAACGAGCTTTGTGTATATATATATGTACAGAGAGTGTTCCAGTTCTCTTATGTGAGAAAATAAAAATAAATCCCTGCCAACTATCAACATCAGAATTTGATCTTGTGATTTTTCTTGTTGTTTTTAATGTCTTTGTGCAGATTTTATTTTAATGTGCTTTCTGATCAGTCAAATGGAACATAGGATTCAGATTTTTTAGTGCAGACCCACAACTTGCGAATCACCAGATCAAGGACATGCCCCTCCATAAACTGTGACCTTCAAATTCCTTGATATATCACCTGCTTTGAGAACTGCTGGATAGATGGAGGAAAAAAAACCTGATTAGTCCCCATTCATTCCTCTCAATTTGCTGAGTCACATGTTGTTCTGGTGATGAGAAAAGTATTGGAAAAGAGAAGTAAAGATTAAAGATAAGTATTGACCTATGTAATATCTCATCGTAAAGTTTTATATAGGCATAGCTAGAGGTGCCTTTCAATAAATGTTTTGAGCAGGTTTCAAATAATTGTTGGAAAATACTGGAAACATCTATCAGACTGGATTTAGATCTTTCTACTCCAAGTTCTGACCCTCTGAAGGATTTTTTTTTTTTTGAGAAGATACATTTTTTGAAAATTATCATCCAATTACTTTTAAATGAAAATAATTTTTGTTTATGTCCTGTGATTTTAGATGGGGTCTTACTTTAATGCTTCTAATATGCAACTGGCTCTTGATTTCCATAGAGTTGGACTTTTTCCATTCAGAAGAAGAGGTCCATTATTACTAAGATGCTTTTTTCTGCATGTTATCTTAACTTCTACACTATAATATTCGCTTAGGGTCATTTCAAAATGAATTCAGAAGACCAAAGTCTGCCTAGTTGCCATGTTGGAATTTATTGCATGGCAGAAAGAAACACTTTTTTGAGGCTGGGAACTACACTTAAAAAAAAAAAGTCTTTAATGAGCTGAAATACCGGAAATGGTGCATTGATGTCATCAAAGGAGGTATGACTGCATTTTAATTTTATTTTATCCCTTTTTATGCTTGTTGTAATCTGACTTTTTTTTAAAAGAAAAAATCATAAGCTGTGCTAAGCTTCCATTTGGCATACACATGTAAGTGGTGCTGCTAGTAAATACCCGGTAGTATTAAAAAAGATAACTTCTAACATTTGTTTCTGTTATTTTAAAATCTTTCTCAATGTTTAAGCCTTTCTTTCTTCTGGCATGTTCCTTTTTTTTCTCCAATCTGCTTTGCTGATTTGTTCTAGTCTTCCAATGGTGATGGATACTTGCTGTGCTTTTCTGGAAGAGCAGTGGACCTATGCAAATTACCCACAATTTTTGTCGAATGGTTTTTTGTGAATATCTACTTGCATGAGAAATTCCTCAAGAGGAGACATGTTTAAGGAGAACTTTCTCCTGAAAATCTGCAGTGGGAGTGAAAGAGGTCTTACCCTACCATATCCTCTGCTGAGAAATAGAGCTTGGAATTATCAACCGGAAGGCAGGGTCTTGTGTTTCATTTTGTTCTACGTACAAGGCTTAGTTGTTGAGGCACTTTAGACATTTGTACTGGGTCAATACTAGCCATGTTTTACAGGCTCAATTAAGCCGATGTATGCTTTGCCTAAGGGCACAGAGTGAATTTACCAGGGGTAAAGCCATGCCTTTTCACTATATCAAAATGACCATTGTGTTTAACAACATGTACCAGGCACTTGAAAAACGAATAAATGTAGTGTTAACGGCACTGGATGGTTGCTCAAAATATGGGATGTTTCCATTATCGTTTTCACCTCTGCTTTCATCAGTCAGACTCATTGGGAAAATGAGATAGTTGCATTGGATGAAAGTTTGTTTCCATGGCAACACATTGATTTCTTTATTTTTAATATAAATCTCCAGAATCCAGGGTGACAAGCAAGTGAAACATGGGGGAAGGGAAGAAAGTGAAAAGAAAAATTATCCCCAAATGAGCATAATGTGGTGAGAACAATATCAAAGGAGAGAAGAAGGAAAATTAACTTAAGATTTTCATTAAACAATGGCAGGTTTAAAGATGAGTAATTCTGTGAAAGCGTGTTACGAATGTATCTTCATTCCTAGAAGCCTTGATCTTTGGAAATTTGATGGAGTTTGCTATCCAGTGGGATAAAATTGTTTTCAAAGATAAGTGGCTACATTTCTTTTACTTCCATGCAAGCAATCCCCACTGAATGCCAAGTAAAAATTCAAATGGTGTGCTTTTATAAAGAGGAGAAAGAGATCTTAGACGTTTCTAGGACTTTTTCTCAGCCACTCTGCTGTTTTTGTTACTTTAGGAACTCAATCCTAGTTTCTAAGACTAGAGTCCTTCAATAGGGAAGAAACATTTGTTATTATTTTACTGTACCACAGCTGTGCAATTTACTACATAAAATGACCCGGCCATCCTTCCTCCGTTGGATCCCCCATAAATGCACTGAGATTCTGAGAATTTCTAGCCATGATGGGTATTAACCCTCTTGCCAAGTCCAGAGTTAGGAGGCTGGTAGAAGCTCCTGTTGTGGCAGAATATGGAGGCAAATGTGTATTCCTTCAGCAGACTTGCATCTTCTAGCTTGTGAGCTGCAGCAAGTAAGAATAAACAGTAACAGGTTAGGACAGGGGTCTTCAAAGTTGGCTCTTTTATGACTTGTGGGGAAAGGGGGAAAAATGGCGGACAGCCTTGCTTGGCGACCCCCGTGAAATGGTCGATCGACCCCAAATGGGGTCGCGACCCATAGGTTGAGAACCGCTGCTGTAGATGGTAACATGAGGACCTACCTGCCTTTTTACTGCTCATTTGGAATGAAAACAGACATGATAAACTTTGATGATTTATTTAGCATGAAAGCTGACGCTTCAAATATTGCATATTGGGGGAATGCCCCAACTTCATTTTCAGTTTCATGGTGACTTTAAAACTGTTTTGATCAAAGGTTTTAGCCATTGCTATCGCCATATTGGAGAACTGGTCCTGAAGTTTCCTTTCAGCTGACTCAGCTGCTAACTGCCAGCAGTTCAATCCTGACTGCCTCAGCCTTCCAGCCTTTGGAGGCTGGTAAAATGAGGACCCAGATTTTGGGGGGCAATATGCTGACTCTAAACAGCTTATAGAGGGCTGTAAAGCCACTGTGAAGCGGTATATAAGTTTAAGTGCTATTGCTATTGTTTTTTGACACAATATCACTGGTGCCTGTTTCATGGATGCCAGCAGTGCCCTTGCTGTAGGCAAATCATAGCTACTTCTATTTGAGCCACTTCTCTCATCGGTTTGGGCCACTAAAAGTATTGAAACCCAACTTTATCCAGAGTTATTGCATCAAGTATAGCAGCTACTTGATATTTGGTCTTAGATGCTACATTTGGGATATCTGTTCTTTCTTCTACCACTTTATAAGCTTTTCCAGTATATTTTCAGACTATGCTGAAGAAGAATCAGTTATTTTTGATTCTAGTTCTAAAAGTGGTCAACAGTAACTTTACAAGGGCTATCCTCCTTAGTTGCATGACATCAGTGATTCTGGCCAGTTCTAAGATTGCTGTGGCACTCTCAGAAATTGAAAGATGAATCCAACCTAGAGACATGCATAATATGCCAAGGGGCAGGGTGGTGTTTCCCAGCAAAATCCTCATAGTTCTTGAAAAATCCAAACTGAACAGGTGCAGAATCATTTATATGAATTCACAGATGAACATCATCCAGATGCTAATTCTTTTGCTTTGTAAAGTGGAGCTCTTGCTGAGCAGGCCATATGCAGAAAGAACATCTGTCCTTCTATGACAATAGCACCCATGCATTGAGAAGAACACTATTTCTAGGACTTCAGTATGAATTGTAGAGAGGGAAAATGAAGACTTTTTCTTGTGTAATCATTTTCTGCATCATTCCACCAAAAATGGTTATTCATTGTATGTTGTCAAATATACA